GACAGAATAGCATTTTTACTCCACGCGACTAGAAAATCTACTTCTAAGATTTACTTTAGGATTTGGTCTAAATTTCTTCACTGGAGTAAGGAACACCAGTGCCCAGTTTTGCATCCATCTATAGATAACATTCTCCATTTTTTTACAAGATGGGTTTTTAGCTGGTTTGAGTGTCTCCACGCTCAAGGTGCAGATATCAACCTTAAGTTTCTTTCTAATTAAAAATCTGGCTACCAATGTCTTCATCAGACGATTTTTTAGATCCATCAGTCTCAAACGACCTCCTAAATGATCTAGGTTTCCAACATGGGATTTAACCCTGTTCCTACAATCTCTTAGTGTTCATCCCTTTGAACCTTTAGAAGAAGTTCCATTAAAAATTTTGTCGCTCAAGGTTTTGTTCCTGGTAGCAATTACCTCAGCAAAAAGAGTGGGAGAACTTCACGCCCTTTCTTCCTCGGATGAGTTCACCATTTTTCACAATGACAAGGTGGTTCTTTATCCTAGACCGTCCTTTCTACCAAAAGTATTATCTTCTAAGACGGTTAATCAGCCAATCATTTTACCTTCATTTTATAACAATGCTTCATCTCCTCAAGAGCGCAGATGGCAGAAATTGGACGTCAGAAGAGCATTGTTTGTTTATTTAACAAGAACAAAAGAATTCAGGAAATCAGATCATTTCTTCATTCATTTTCAGGGGCACCTCAAGGGCATGGTTGCTTCCCGTGGTACCTTGTCCCCTTGGCTCATTCAGGCTATACAATTGGCATATTCTTCGGCTGGTCTTCAGTCTCCAACTACAATGACGGCCCATTCAACTCGAGCTATGGCTACCTCATGGGCAGAGAAGTCCATGCATCACCAGAGGTCATCTGCAAAGCAGCATGCTGCAGCATGCTGGTCATCGCTCAACACTTTTATCAAGCACTATCAGCTAGACATATACTCTGTCTCTGAAGCAACTTTCGGGGTAAGGTGTTGCAAGCAGTAGTGGCCTAAATCCTGCCCAGATGAAGTTCTTCCATATTTTTTTTCTTAATATGGTGGCAGTACTACTTCCCCCCCTTTTTTCTATTAAAATATTTTTTGCAGTAGAATTTGGGCTGTATTGTCTTTCTTGTCACGTACTGGGGAATGTCTAAGAGGTACAATACTTTATAGGGAAAGGGGAAGGATCCTTTTTGTTTTTAGTTGCTAAGATGTCTTCTCCACAGGGAGAAGTATAACCCTTCAGTTACTGCCACCATATTAAGAAAAAAAGAATTTACGGTAAGTACAAATTTCTGTTTTCTATTGGCCGAATCCCAAAGCAAACAAACATGCTCATCCATTGAGCTAGACGTTTTCATGTTTATACGTCCATATAGTGCTTCGGAGATACGGAATTCAAACCTAAATTCTGAAGAATTGCAGTCAGCAGAAACCGAATGCACAAGTCTGTTAGAAACCCAAATATCATATATATATATATATATATATTTTTTTTTTTTTAAGGGTATGAATTTGGAATATAGAAACCGTTAATTTGATGGCAGATAAGAGGCGTTTAGCCAGGTGATGGATAACCTTGACTACATTTCCCATGATGCTCGGCTAGCTTTTAGAGTCTAAAAGCTAGCCGAGCATCATGGGAAATGTAGTTGGAAATTTATGGTGTCAAGGTTAGCCATTACTGGTTTAGCCCATCTAGTCTGCCCAATTTTCTAAATACGTTCATTAGTCCCTGGCCTTATCTTAAGTCTTAAACTCCCTCACTGTGTTAACCTCTACCACTTTAGTTGGAAGGCTATTCAATGCGTCCACCATCCTCTCAGTCAAGTAATACTTCCGGATATTATTTTGAAACCTTTGTCCCTCTAATTTAAGCCTATGTCCTCTTGTTTTGGTAGCTTTTCTTCTTTTAAATATAGTCTCCTCCTTTACTGTGTTGATTCCCTTTATGTATTTAAATGTTTTTATCCTATCCCCCCCCCTGTCTCGTCTTTCCTCCAAGCTATACATTTAAGATCATTTAACCTTTTCTGGTAAGTTTTATCCTGCAATCCATGAACCAGTTTAGTAGCCCTTCTCTGAACTCTCTCCAAAGTATCAATATCCTTCTGGAGATACGGTCTCCAGTACTGTGTTTTTGTGACCTGTAACTATGAAAATATGTGTAAATCATAGGCATATTAGAAATCCCCCAAAACAAGACAAACGTATTAATCTGTTTGCACAGACTGTTGGACTGTGGTTATTGAGGAATAAGGGGACAGACTGCAACCCAACACACAGTGTACAATGCACTCCCGGAGAGTATGCAGTGTGTGTCAGTGAGACAGTGTGTGTCAGTGAAAATATTTGTCTGTGAGTGTATCTGTCAGACAGTGTGTGCCAGTGAATATATGTGTCTGTGAATGTATCTGTCAGTGAGACAGTGTGCCAGTGAATATGTGTCTGTGAGTGTATCTGTCAGTAAGACAGTGTGTGCTGCTGAATATATGTGTCTGTGAATGTATCTGTCAGTGAGACAGTGTGTGTCAGTGAAAATATTTGTCTGTGAGTGTATCTGTCAGACAGTGTGTGCTGGTGAATATATGTGTCTGTGAATGTATCTGTCAGTGAGACAGTGTGTGCCAGTGAATATATGTGTCTGTGAGTGTATCTGTCAGTGAGACAGTGTGTGCCAGTGAATATATGGATGTGTGGGTATATCTGTCAGTGAGACATTGTGTGCCAGTGAATATATGTCTGTGAGTGTATCTGTCAGTGGGTATATTTGTTTATTTTAAAGTGCTATGGATATTAAGATATTCAGCTTTTTTCCACCTGTTCAACTGCACACTATTTTAACGCAGTGCTTTATGGAGCTTGTCTAATACATTTTCAATGGCTCTTTTTAATTCTCATTCTGACCCTAACCAAGAGTCCATTGTAAGGTCCTTTCTGCACTCAGTCAATGTACACTATCAATGTTATTGAAAGTGAAAATTAGCCAAACTGTAAAAATTCTCTATGGCAGCTTTGCTTTCAAATCAGCTACTCTGACCTTAAATGTGAAATTCTTTTTGAATTCTCACTATAGTAAATAACCCTGTACGTTTGGTCTAAGAGAAAGCCCCACTTTAAAATAACATAAAATTCTTCAGCCACTCGAAATGTTAAAATAAAGCATCTTCTTACATCCAGACAAGCATCCCCCTTATCCTTAATCCTTCCCATGTCAGTCACTGTGCCTATACTGCTTACTGGTACATGTTATCTTAAATTTAAAAAAAGCAAAGGAGAGGAAACCCTTTGAAGTTTAAGAAAAAGTCTGTTTGCCCTGGGCCTCTCCAGTCTATTTGTTTCTCATAAACCACCAATTCTCAGTCTTCTAAGTGCCCACTACTGACCTCTCGTCTGCTTCCTTTTTCAACTTATTGCAGTGGACCACATCCTGCTTCTCGGAGCACAGGTCAATGAATGCACTCCATGTGTACAAAACCACTGGTTTTTAATTTAGCATTTAATAGCTGGAACATTGCTTCAACAAGAGTTCCAACATATCCTCATTGAATTTGTGTCTGGTTAGTCATAAATGGCCATAAATCTTCCCCAGAACCTATAGATCAGTAGGTCTGTATATATATACATGGAACTTTGTGATTACAACTTTTTTTGCAATTTTTTTTTTTTTTTTTATAAAGTACAAGATACACTCATTAAAAAATGAACTGTCTCTTTGCTGGAAATCTCACCATTGAATAGAACAATGAAAATCACCTATAAATTCTGTAAACTTTTATTCATACAATTCTCCATTTTATTTAATATGTATATTATTATTATTATTATTACGCCAACAGATTCAGTAGTGCTTTACAATATTATAAGAGGGGGATTTAACTATAAATAGGACAATTACAAGAAAACTTACAGAAACAATAGATTAAAGAGGACCCTGCTCAAACGAGCTTACAGTCTATAGGAGGTAGGGTATAAAACATATGAGGACAGGAGGTAGCAATCAAACAAGGTGGGAGTGCAGCAGAGCTAGAGGAGAGAGTAAAGTGCTGCCCTGTAGGAGAGAGCAAGGGACCGGTATGTGAGGTAGAGGTTACTCTAGGAGGCCATAAGGTTTCCTAAAGAGATGGATTTCGAGGCACTTCTTAAACGATTGCAGACTAGGGGAGAGTCTGATGTCTGATGGTTGAAGAGGACCCTGCTCAAACAAGCTTACAATCTATAGGAGGTGGGGTATAAAACACATTAGGACAGGAAATATAAATCAAATAAGGTGGGAGTGAAGCAGGGCTGGAGAAGAGAGTAAAGTACTGCCCTGTAGGAGAGAGCAAGAGACATGTATGTGGAGTAGAGGTTACTCTGGGAGGCCATAAGTTTTCCTAAAGAGATGGGTTTTAAGGTACTTCTTAAAGGATTGAAGACTAGGGGAGAGTCTGATGGGGGTAGACAGGCTATTTCATAGGAAGGGAGCCGCCCACGATAAGTCTTGCAAGCGTTAGTTGGCCGCACGGGTGCGAGCAGCGGACAGGAGAAGGTCACAGGCAGAGCGGCGAGACCGAGAAGGGGCATACCTCTGGATCTGTGAGGAGATATAAGAGGGGCTGGAATTGTTCAGTGCTTTATAGGTATGGGTTAGCACTTTGAATTGACTCCTATATGACTCCTATATGAATTGACTCCCAATGTAAGGACTGACAGAGGGGTGAGGTGTGAGAGGACCGACTAGAGAGGAAAATCAGTCTGGCGGCAGCATTTATTACAGACTGTAGTGGTGTAATACAGCTTTTGGGAAGATCAATTAGGAGAGGGTTACAATAATTCATTTAGGAAATTACTTGAGCATGGACAAGCTCCCTAGTAGCATTTTGTGTAAGAAAGGGGCGGAAGGAGTTAGCAATTGAGTCGAGGCACAGCTAAGGCATACCTGACAAATGAGGAGGTGGAACAAAAATCTCACAAACACATATTTGTTAAATATAGTGGATTAGTAAACATAATATTAAAGATCCTGTGAATTGACAACTCCCCTTTAAGTTATTCACATTAGAAATCGAGAGAAATGTCAGCAAACACATTCTAAACATGCTCAATTTTTCTCTCTCCTTAAGCCTTTCTAACTTCCCTGTTAAACCACCAGGGTTTCCAGACCCACCAAGTTTCCTTGGACAAATATTTTATCTCATGCTGAAGGACAGCATATGAAAAATGATGCCCTGCAGTACATAGAATTCATAAGCTGTAAGATGCAAATCAATCCATTATTCAAAGCAAGATCACCAAGGAAATTCATTTACCGATTACCCTCCTGCAGAATGTGACGACTACATAGCACAGGGCAGCATTTTCTATATGGTGTCTTTTAACTCGTGTAAAATATTTCTCTAGGAATAAATGGTGAATATTGCCTCTACTACCAGCCAGTATTTTCCATTGCTCTTTTTCAAAAGTTATCTCAAAGCAATGGCCTGAAGCTGTTGCAAAACTACATCTCCCATTCTGCTTTGCCAGCATAATGCTTGGAAAACCTTAATGGAGTTCGGCAGCAGTTGGGTATCTACTTCTTGTTCCCCCCTGCACTACCAGAACTCTTTTTTTTATTTTTTATTTTTTTTATTTTATTTTTTACTTTTATTGGTGCCCATTTCTATTTCCCTCCTTCTCATCTTCCAGACAAACCCCCTCTTTCGCAAAATGTTTCTTTCTATCTTTCTCTGTTTCCCTTTACACTTACTCAATTTTCAATCAGGGAGGCTTATTCCTGGGGTGCAGTTGGACAACATAACAACCAAAGAAGCTAAAGTCTGCAAAAAAAAAAAGCTCTGAAAAATGTAAACTTCAATTGCCATATTCTCACTTTCACCCTGTAGTTGCACAGCCAGCTTTAGAAACGTATGAATATGACAACTTTCTGGAGTCTGGCACTGTAGATAATTAAATCCAGCTTTGGATATTTATCCCCAGAAGCCCTTATCGTGTCCCAAGAAACACAGCCTTGCTCTTGTAGATTGTAAAATACTTCAGTATACAAGGAATGCACGGATTTTCTGGTAATGAAAGTGTCAATCTTTTGTATCCAGTACGATACGCTCTTGTAATCCAGCGGTATATTAGATAACCCAGATAAATAACCTTGCAGGTCCGTAACAGGCTCTTCCTAGAGTTTCAGCAATTCACTAACATTGAATGTCTAGATATGTGTTTTATGTGAATGACAGGTCGTATCCATATAAGATCCACTTTAAGAATTGATGTACTTAAAGTTACACACACAAGCAAAATGAAAAAGTAATAGGTTTTACAATCTAACATAACATGCATGGATTGTCAGGCTATACAAAGACAAAACTAGCAATCTTAACACAAGGATGATTTGAAATAGGACATCAAGCCTATATTTCAGTGATTTTGTTTTTTGATTTTTTTTTTTTTTTTTTTAATATCATACAACACACCAGCACTGTATCCAATCTAATTCGCCTCCATTCATTTCTATGTTAAATGAGTGATATATGCAGTTTTCACCTTTTCAGTGTCAGGGTCTTAACTGGTCTCATCTAACGGTGATGGGTGCGATGCGTATTGGTAGAAATCAGCTTTTTTTTGTTATTGCCATTTTATTATGATTTCCACATTTTTGAAAGTGTATATATTTTTTGAGGTTTACTGTAATTGTCTTAATATTTTCTTGTGGATTTACTTATCAAACAATACATGGTGGAATCAGTTTATAAAACATAGTATAGTATAAATTGCCTAAATAGGTTTTTCCATCTAACCACATTTATATATTTACATAGTCATATATATATATATATACTAATTATGTATTTTTATATAGTGCCTTTTCTCTCCAACGGGGGGAAGACTTAAAGTACACCAAGTACTGTCATACTCCTCCATTTAAATTTAGCTTTAGGTTATAAAACAATATATCTTAAACAATATAAACGATATACAGGTATCTTAAAATCATCATGAGGATTTATTAAATGGTCATACATTGCATTAGCTTGCCATTACAGCAATGTTTTTTAGTTATGGGATAGGTTTATGCTATGTATTTATCCTATAGTAGTGCCTATCCATAAAAGAGGTGACAATACTTTGGTTTCTAACTATCGCCCGATATCATTGCTCCCTGTATTGTAAAAAATCTTGGAAAAATGCGTCCACACGCAACTATGTGAATATTATTGTAACAGGAGTCCTCTGTTTTCCCAAAGGTTATGGTGTTTCCCCTTTCCTGCAGTGGTTATAGTGTTTCCCCTTTGCTGTGTAATAAAGGCCACTTCGCCACTGGGTTATGGAGAGGACTAATCGCCAGTCTTTTACCTTGGAACTATGGCCCCTGTGACTTTTTTGATTCTAGGACATTATTTCTGCCTGCTGGGACTTTTACCACTTTGACCTTTCGAAGTGATTTGAAATGGCACTTCAAACTGTTGAACAGCCGAAGTACTGGACCATCCATAATTGGAAGTGTGCTGCTTGTTAACCTCCCAGAAGTTGTGGTTAAACGCAGCTTAATCAACAAAAGGCTGGGTGGTCGCCATTCGTATAGCCGAATAGGTGGTGGCGACCATCTTATTTAGTCGAACGCTGCCAGCGGTATTTTGTCTTCAAGTGCATGGAACTAAAATTGGACACTCAACGGCACGAACACCGCTAGAACTTCAACCCCCAGCTAACTTCCACTAAATCCCAACAAAGTGAGTGCCGTTCCGTAAAAGTAATCTACCAAACGCACTTCAACCCTGACTTTGTGCACGAACGGTCTCGTTCGAATATTCAAAGTGCATTTTAATTATTGAAAAAAGATCGACCGCACAACCTAATTCTCTGGAACTTTTTTGGGCATGAAGCCATGTGTGCAGTCGGTCAAAAGGGACTTCCAGGAATTTTCTGAACCCCTGCTCTGATCTGGGTGATTTTTGGATATGTTGGTCACCCAGACCAGGGCTATCAGGGGATATAACATGGGGAAATGTCATGTTTTGGGGTGTTTTTTGTACTTTGCAAAAATTAGTTTTTTCTGCTTGGGGATAATTGAGTTAATTATCTTGCTCAATTATCTTCCAAGCAGAGGGGAGGGATTGTGTGCTGTATGTGGGAGTGTCAGACATTGTACATTGTTTTTATTGGTTTGCACATCTTGTAATTCGGTGCTCCATCAGGTTCAGTGGGTGTTCCCCTCGCCTGAGGAATTGTAAAAAAATCCAACCTGACCCATTAAACTCTCAGATCTTCTTACCCTCTGCTCACAGCCTCGTCTCGTGCTCTAGGGAAATGCTTTACCTGCTGTAATCACTAGCTCTTCTCAGAGCTCTACGAAACTTGCTTATCATAGCAGTATACTAGGATGTTGTATTGGGACTCCACAGTGCCCTTCCAGAGTGGGTAAAACGACATCTAGGCGGTAAATACCCCGACTACTCAGGGGTTACCGTCACAATTATCAACAATCAAACTATCTGACCCCTGATCAATCAGGCTTTTGTCAAAATCACTCAACTTCGACTGCCCTCTTAAAGTTTGCAATGACATCCAAATTTGCATGGAACAATGAGACTTAATTGGAGCTATTTTCCTTGATTTTGCCAAGGCCTTTGACACAGAAGAGCATGGCATTCTTTTGTAAAAACCTAAAAACGCAGGCATTGGTGATCGTCTGCTAACACGGTTTCAATCATATGTGTCAGACCAATTGCAATATGTGGCCATTTCTGATAGCGCTTACCTCCCTCTTCCAGTCACGTATGGTGTTCACCAAAGCTCCATATCCCCTGCTATTCACATTATTTATAAATGATCTGCCTAACGTCTGTAAATCCTCAACTGTACACATGTGTGGCAGAAATGCCTCTGTTACATGTTCTTGGAGGGGCCTGCTTGCCAGCTTCCTGCCAAAAGACTATGGGCCAGGTCAGCGACTGTACAGACCCATATTTTATTCCCCTTGGTTCAGCACTTTCAATTTGTGCGCATAGAACCGAACACTAGCTCCCTGGCTGCCGTTCGCATTGAACCAAAACTGTGAATAAGCTTCAGGGGGACTTAGCCGCGATTCTATGGAACTATTTTCGGCATGAAGACTTCGCGGTTCCCGGTCGGTCCCCAGCGGCACTTAGCCGCGATTCTATGGAACTATTTCCAGGCTAGGGGAAATTAAATTATGAAATTCCTGAATCGATCTGGGTGATTTTTGGATATGTTGGTCACCTAGATCGGGGCTATCAGGGGATGTAGCTGATAGGGGGGTGGGGGTTTGTGTGTTTGAAGGTATTTTTGGGGTTTTGTGGAAATGTATGTTTTCTGTGCCTGGAGATAATAACACAGTGCTTGACTTGATTATCTCCCAGGCACAGAGGAGGGATTATCTTCTTTAATGGGGAGTGTCCTGGACCTGAGAGCCAATGTAATCTGGTGTATGTTTTTACTATAGGTCCAGGGGGGAGTGCCCCTTGCATGGGGACCTGCATATTAGGCTAGTTGTGGCTACCAATAAACGAGTTCCAGTTTACCCTCACCACAGAGCCTTGACTCATGCGTGTAGGGGAAAGCTATACCAGCTATAATCCCTGCTCCTGGGATTTTTCTTTGGATTGCTATAATCACTAGCTCTTGTAAGAGCTACACTGCTCTACCTGCTGTACTCTCTTGGAGGAGAGGTCTTCTCACTGGGAGCTGGATCCAGGAGTTTGATCCAGGGTGAGACTGGACGACGAGACCCCAGCCAAGCTCCGGGGGCTAAGGGGCTACGGTGCTTATGGTGTCCGGTGCGGTGCTAATGGTACTCGGCGACAGCAAGGAAGCAGCGATTGGCGGAGGCACCCAATCGGGGTGCCAGGCGGTCCGTGACATCTGGTGGCAGCAGTGGGATGGCTACCTAGTGAGTATAGAAGCATCCTGCAGACACTGTAATCGTTATGGATTTTATAATTGAGGACAACGCTAGTATTCGTCCGTCACAACATGTATGCAGACGACACTGTAATCTACACTAGAAAACTCAAGCTACCGCAGCTTAAGGCTGTGCTCCAAAACCAATTCACAGAGGTATAAAAGTGGATAGCGGACTCTTTCTAAACACTGACAAAACCGTTACAATGATCTCTGGAACTGTACCCAAATTACATAAACTACAAAATCAACAACTGTGCATCAGAACAAATTCAAATAGTACACTGACAGCAGTTTGCTCTTTTAAATATCTAGGTATGTTGCTAGACCCCAATCTATCCTTTGGCCTTCACATTGAAAAAAACTCTTCAAAACTTTACCTAAAGCTAGGTGCCCTGTACAGAAACAAATCCTGCCTAAGCCCTACAGTAAGGAAACAGGTAGTGCAATAAATGCTAATGCCGGTCATTGATTATGGGGATGTAGTGTATGCATCCGCACCGCAAATCCACCTTAATAAACTTAATACGTTATATCATTTGTTCTGCCGCTTTGTACTATAATGTAATTACTTTACCCACCACTGTGACATGTTAAAAGAGCTAAACTGGTTGTCACTGGAATCCCGACGCACTCTTCATCTTTCCAGCCCGGTGCATAACAGCATTTCTGGGAAGCTCCCACCCTATCTGAGTAGAATGCTCTCCCCAGCTGTTCCCACCTCCTATAACCTCCGATCCAGTACCAGCACGATATTTAGCATTCTATATTTATAGCATACTATATATATAGTTTGTATATTTTGTGTTTTATATTGTATCCTATTGTAACAATGCAATGTTTGTGGGCCCAGGACATACTTGAAAATTAGAGAAATCTCAATGTATCCATCCTGATAAAATATTTTATAAATAAATAATATTTATGCTCTAAATGGCAATATTTTTAAAACATCATAGTGGGCTGGAGTGCCGTTTTGCAATGGTTTGCCATCTAATCTTGGTCCTGCCGGATGCCGAGCCTCTTATGTCATTGGGTATATTTTGAGCCTTATTCTACAGCCATTTAGGAACAATTTATTTCAAAGTTTATAGCATTTTATTTTGTTTTGTTTATTGTTTGTTTTTTTACATGCACATTGCATTTTAGTGGTTTATCTTGTAAACTTCTGATGAATTTTTTTTATTTTTTCCCCCCAATACAAACAATAAACAATTACATACCAAATTACTGAAGGCATATATCTATGCAATTGAGAGTTTGCCTTAAGAATATACAAATAGCTTTTACAATGCATAGTTTGCGTAAAGGTGAACAATAAATAATCATAGATTTACAAACAATTGCCGTTAGTAATTACTTTAAATTGCGTAGTATTTTCATACACATACATTTAGACAATACAAGTTTGCGTGATGGTGATGTGTGCCAGGCCTATTCAGTTTCATTAAAAAGAGAAAAAAAAAAAAGAAGGAATCATACATTACTCAAAGTTTGCGAATTTATTTATATAGGGTTTCCATATCTCAAGAAAAGAACTATATATTTTAAAAGTAGAAAAAAAGGCCTTCTCCTATTTAAGTTGGAAGTTTTCTTGGTTCATTACCATTGGCCAATCGTTTCATGGCCATAAGTATCTAAATAATTAGATTTGCTACATTTTTATTCATACTATCTAAATGTAAGTAAAGAATGGCTCCTTTCAGAGAAAAAGGGAGCATAGTTTTCAGCATATCTGATATTAAACTGAAAATCTTGTTCCAGGTTTTATTTACTAATATGACTGACCAACAGATATGCTTCTGTGTGCCTTCATGTAGGCCACATCTCCAACATGTTGAGGAATGTTCAGTATCTATTTTCTGTGGTCTGGTTTATCTTGTAAACTTGATGTGAGCTGCTGTAATAATAATCCTGAAATTGTTCACAGCTATATCCAGGGCCCAGCTCCTTCTGCGGCTGCCTTCCCAGCTCCTTCTGCGGCCGTCTACTGACTGTTTTTGGCAGGACAGGGAGATTTCTGTCATTCTGAAAAGCCCACACTGTGAGTACATTGTGATTGGACTTGGTTTTTATTTTGATTATTATTATCCTTTGCCTAGTCTGACAGGAAGCTCCAAGCAGGGATCAGAGTGGACCGGCTGGGGATATAATGTTTGTTAAGACCTTCAGTGGTTGTGGTACTGAGGTCTTCTATTCCTTTCCCAATAGCTGAGCATAAGTGATTATAACGGCAGTTAGGGTGTAGAGGAATAGGGTAGATGAATGCAGCTTCCAAGACGATTCTCCCCAGCAAATAAAATATTTCCCAAGCATGAGCCTAGACTTCATGAAGTGTACAACAGGAATGATCTTTATCGACGCCACACTGGCTTTTATGGAAATCCTCCTGCCAGAGGACCTCCTACAATAAACAAAAGGAACAACCATTCATTATACAGTTTTACAGTAAAACCCTCCTTTCCTCTGCCTGGGAGATTCTGAGATAAGTTAAGGAATAACCCAATTATCTCCAGGCAGAGGACACACAATTTCCCCAAAACTTGGAACACCCCTTTATACACAAGGTATCCCCACAAATGTCCACTGATAGCCCATATCTGGAGACCAACATATTCAAATTCCACCCAGATCGGTTTAGGGGTTCTCAAAAAGTGTGGAAGTCTTAGTTCACTGACCGCACACGAGCTCCTGCCCAAAACAGTTCCACGAATTCAGTGTGTGCGGTCGGTCAATTCAGAGAACAGCATAAAAATGAATAAAAGCACGAACGGAGCCTCCTGGCTCATAGGAGCGATTGCTTCCCGTATTCGTATGAACCAAACTACCGAATGGCGCTCTCCTAGCTGTTCGGCAACAAAAGGAAGTAGGCATTTGTATGTTTCAGCGGTGGTTCTAAGTCGTGTCCGATTTTGGTTCCAGACACTCGACGACCAAGTCCCGCTTCCTCCTTTCGTGCAAACAAGATGGCCAGCATTTTCTCTTCCACGTGGCATTCACATATACGAACGTCGGCCGCACAGAGAACGCTTAATAGAAGGTTCCCTTTGACGGTAATGAGCCAGGAGGGTGGTCGATGTGCTGAAGTTTAATCTACTGAACCAATAAATCCCAAATAAACAAATACAGCGGAAAGTCACGAATAAAAGAATAAAATGCCAAAAATAAGTCTATTTTCTTCACAATGTTCATTCATATCTCTGCACACTACTTGCAGCTCCCTGTCACACTAGGCAGAGGATAATGAAGATCATCCACAGAAGGTCCACAAGGCCAAGCTACAAGAATTGACAGGCGGGAGCTGATCTGTGGACCAATTCCCATCTGTAACATGGGACAGAATGTCCCCCTCTTCGTTGGTACACTACTTCACTGCAGTTGGTCCTAGCAGCATTTATTTTATGTAGGCATGTTTACTTGAGTGCTTCCTCTTGGTTCTATGTTTGATTTGAAAAGTCTTATCATAATGGTCCTTTGACATCCCCTTTTTCTCTTCCAAGCCTTTCCTTTCATATTCTGGATCTGAGCCATATCTGATACTCTGTAAAACATAATGTTTATTTAAAACTTTCAACACAAAAGGTTATCCTCATACTAGTTACCATGATGGAGTGCAGAGCTTTCAAATTTCTACAGTTTACTACTTTAAGTAGGATTAAGAAAGCTTTAAAACAATCTACAGGGACTAAGGAAAACCTATTCTGTAGGACCAATACATGGCATTTTTTATACTACCTGGGGAAGGCTACCTCTATGAGCCAAGTTCATTTAAGATATAATTCATAAGTTCTGCTCCTGATGAGATTTGTACTTTAAGAGAATCTGATTGGAGAAAACAGCTTACTCCTAAATTGCAACCTTTTCTCTTTCACTTGTGCATAAAATTACTTGAATTATCAGTAAACAGACATGCTAGGTAGCAATACACAATTTTTATGAAGTTATTGCTTTCAGGGCTAAGTAATTATCTATGTATTTTGCATGCTCAATTTTGTATATATATGTGTGTGTGTATTATTTTTTGCAAAAGACATGTTTTACATAATTCTGCATCTTAACCCTACTTCATACCTTCCACTATTTAAAATGGACAAAGAGTGTCACTATAATTTGAGGGGTGTGAGTAGGGGCTTGGACAAGGGCAGGCTGCTCTGAGAAATTTTAGGAAACTTACTAAAAACAATTGATCAAACTAAAATATAATTGAAGATTATATTAGCTTTAGTGTACTAATAATCTTAATTTTAGTAATGACAGGAGGCGAATATTTGCATATCTTTCTTTACTGAAAACTCCAGCAGCATAGAAACAGTAACAACCAATCAGAGAAAAGATATGGTGCCCATAAGAGGCCCTGTCTATGACATCACTTCCTCTTTCTTTGAAGCGAAACAATAAATAACAACAAGAGACATAATCATATTACGTCAACAGTTCAACAACATATTAGAATATCCAACTCCATTAGTTCCGTGATGCAGAGGTATGGAAGGTGAATCTTTGTCTCGATGAGAAGACGTTCACGCTGCAAGAAAAGAAAAAGGTGAAAGGTCTCTGGCGTGATAACTTTTCCGCATACAATAAGCATTAAGCATCTGATATACCAACAAACATTAGAATGTGAAACATATCAATGTATATTTATTCTAAAGCAATGATATTTAAGAATCTATAAACACAACATAATGCAAGGTTCATGTCTAATATTCAACCTATCCAAGATCCACAAGATACAGGTCTAAGTAGCAAACATACAAACCATACGTACTTACCTTCCTCAACATAAAGGACATATTCTGTTCAACACGAGAAACATGGGAGGGATCCTATAGGGTGGGAAATATTCGCCTCCTGTCATTACTAAAATTAAGATTATTAGTACACTAAAGCTAATATAATCTTCAATTTTACCACATGACAGGAGGCTTCATATTTGCATTTTTAAAGCTTTGAATTGACCAATGTGAAGGAAGCATGAGATGTTTGTCGAAATAGAACGTTCTAGACGTACTCTCTCGCGCTCAGTCCACGCAGCGTATAATGTCAGCTAGGGAAGCGTCGGCCGAAAAGGTTTGTGAGGCCGCCACTCCCTGACCTAGTGGGCTCCAAAACAAGGTTCGACGCCCGCTAAAGACAATAGCCAGCGGACCCATCTGGCCAGTGTTGCGGTAGACACCGGTCCATGAGGGTTCACGTGAGAAGTCAGAAGGTGACCCGTCGAATGAGTTCGAAGGGGTAGAGATATCAGTGTACCCCATTAGCGTTCTGACCACGCATAGTGTGGCGTCTGACACAAAGTATGGGTATGACACTGAAGACGGATCGGACTCGACATGGTAAAGGTAACCTGTCTGGGTGAGAGAGAAACCATCCATATCGTAAACCCTAACGTCCACCACCCGTCTAAATGAGACGAGGCATAATAAGAGGGCTAGTTTGGCTGAAAGTTTTTCCAGTGACCAACAAGGATTGTCCGGCCATACACTAAGGAATCTCAGTACCACATCCACCTGCCAGAGGCGTGAATACTTGGGTGCCGGGGTCTCGACAATTCGGCACCCCGTAGTAGTCAACAAACCAGTGTATCTTGACCTACTGGTCTGCCCTGTACCGGAACGTGTGCCGCCAATATGGCGGATCTGATCACGTTGAGGGGTCGATATGACCAACCCAACGAGACCAGGTGTGACAGATAGTTGAGTATCAGTAGGACAGGTGCGGTAAAGGGATCAGACTCCCTTTCCACACACCTATCACTCCAGGCCGACCAGGCAGAAACATAGCCTTTCCTGGTGCCTGGAGCCTATGAGTCCTATAGGAGGTCTCAGTTGATGCAATAGGTCGTGAACCGACCAGGAGCCCCTGAAATCGGCCAGGCAACTAGTGCAAGTTGTCCCTCCATGACAAGGGAGTGGGCTTCCCCTCGAGGTCCCGTCGGAAGTAGAGGGAAGGTAGGGAGTAGTAGAGGGTCTTCGCGAGACATCTCCAGGCGATCCGGGAAACCACGGTTGGCCCTGTCCGAGGGGTGTCATGAGCAGGAGCGATATCTTGTGGGTGCGTGTGTATCGAAGCACCCTTGCTATTGAGAACGGTTGGGTCACGTTTGTAGGGGTTCATCCATCGCCTCGTATCCGAAGGAAGAGTCAAAGATCGTTTTGCCAATCCAAGTTTGTATGTGAAGTAATCACCTTCGAAATTCCGTCCTCCCTTCTGCTGACAGTGGTATCCAGTGGTCGTATGAGTGACCGGTGCGTACGTATCTCGTCGTTAATTGGCCCTGTAGTTTAGTGGGCCAGGGAATATCGCTTGTATGGAGGAGGAGAGGAGGAGAGGAATCCCACAATCCGGCGAGTATCCTGAGAGGAATCGCATCCAACCTTAGAGCGTGTCCGACAGCTATCCTTATAGAGGTGCTCTTTGCCGTGGATCGACGCAGAACGTAGTTCTCCAAGCCGATGTCGAAACCGAGGAACTGGCCCGATTCAGATGGAGAAGCGATCTTTTGTCTGTGTACTACAAAAAACCCATGGAGTCCCGAAAGTGAACGACAAATTGTCTGCAAATGTAGCCTGGATTCGTAAAGAGTCAGCAAATCTTCAGGGTATACGAGGCATTGCACGCCCAAATTTACGGATGTGTGCCCTCACTGGTTTCAGTAGCTTCGCGAGCACCACGGAGTCGTAAAACTGCCATGTTTGTCCTCACCATTGGAATCGGAGGAAGCTTCGGCAGTCCAGGGTAACGGGTAATGACAAGCGTGCGTCCTTGAGGTCCAGATGTGTAAACCAGTCGTTACCGCTTAGGAGGTCCTGTAGAAGACGAATTTCCTCCAACTTGAAGCATTTGTATACCACGTAGGAGTTCCATTGATGTAGTCTCCTGGCTTCTTCTTGACCAGGAAAAATTTTGCTGAGGAAGCCTTCCCCTCCGGTCAGGGCCGGATTAACATAGGGGCTGATGGAGCTGCAGCTCCAGGCCCAGGCCCATGGAATAGGCCCATTGATTTATTAAAAAAAAAATAAAAAAAAAAATATTTTTTTTTTTCCCCCACACACTACTCTTAGGGATTCTACCTGGCTTTTATTTTATTGGCACAGCCAGTATTTGAGGCTGCCTGGCTGGTGCTAATATTACAGTGATACTGGCAATACAAATGCTGATATTTTTCTTAGTATAAATCTTAGGATAAAGATTACTATGCAATACCAGCACTGGCCAGTAGGGGTCGTTGTATGTGAAGACAGGCAGGGATAGGAAGTTCCAGCATATCCTTCCCTGCCTATCTATACTCACTGATCTGCAGGGGTGCAGCTACAGAGAGTCCAGACAGCAACTCCCACCCTGCAGAGACAGCCTACAGCTCAGGGAAGTAAGGGATGGGGGTAAAGGCTGCAAGGAGACATGGGGACACTGAGACACTAAGGGACATTGGGAGACATTATGACACAGACACATGGGGGCACAGTGTCCCCATGTCTCCCAGTCAGTGTCCCTGGTGTTTCAGTGCCCCCTAGTCTTCCAGTGCCCCCAGTCTGCCAGTGTCTCACTGTCCCCATGTCTCCCAGTGCCTCCATGTCTCCCAGTGCCTCAAGTGTCTCAATGTCCCCATGTCTCCAAGCTAGTGTCCCTAGTGTCTGTGACCCTGGTGTCTCCTTGTCCCCATGTCTCCCAGTGCCCCCATGTCACCCAGCCAGTGTCTCTAGTGTCTGTGTTTGAATCGTGCTGGCTCTGCCCCTGATCTGCCTCCTTGTCAGCCTCAGCCAGTCCTATGGTGAAGCACTGTGATTGGATTAGGCCACCACTTCTAATGATGTCAGCAGACTGCTTGTTTTTCTGAGTCTAACAGCATGCAGAGTTACAGCTTCAGGCTTGAATACAGTAAGATTTTGCTATATTTATGGAGGCATGAGGGGCCCAGGGGGGCTAGATGGTGGTGTTAACACTATAGGGTCATGAATTCATGTTTGTGTTCCTGACCCTATAGTGATCCTTTAAGGTAATGTGACTTTGGTCTCTCTAACACTGTGGCATGTTCCCTTTCTTCTACACTCACTACATACAGCTTTTCTCTGTCCCAGACTATATACCAGGAGCTTCTGCCTGCTAGTAAGAAGGTAAGGAGACAAGTGGACCAGCGAGTGCTAGGGGACAGTCCTTAGAAAGCGTTGAGCGAGCGCATCATTAGATGCATTTATGCCAAGCTCAGGGTGCTGTCTGCATAGTATGCCCTTAGTTGGCCAGCTGCATGATTGGCATGCAGCCTGACATGCATTCATGCCAGGCTGGCCTTCTAATTCTTTGAGCAGACATGTCCTCTTTTTGGGCATGTTCGCCCCTTTTGGCAGGTTACGTGATTTGTGTCAGTGGCACACCCTTTTACCGTGCCCATTGACTTCTTGCTTGACTGGACACTGCTGTTAGGGGTTATGGATTTACTTGAAAGATGAAAACATAAATTAGTGAGAGATTAGCCTAGGGTATGTGTTTTCTTATAGCTGCTGTTTTCTTTCTCTCCAGCACCATCTCCATCAGATACATGACACTTGGGAGTGTTTTACTGTTTTTGGTCGATATGATTCTGTAATTAGGCCCGTCATAATTGTCAGCACCAGGCCCACTGGGCTCTTAATCTGGCCCTGCCTCCGGTGCATGTTGAATTGCGCACTTCTTGAAGAGGGTGTGGATTTCCTTGTCCACGAGATGTTCCGCCAGCGTGCACAATGGAGGTGAAGGGGTGACCTGAACGGCTGTGATAAAAAACTATATGACATAGTCTTGTATCGTCTGGAGAACCCAGGTGACTTTGGTAGTCGTCTCCCAAAACTGTAAAATAGAGACAGGTTGCCGGTCATAAAATTGGAAACAGTTAGTTATGTAGGTTGACTCACTAGTAGATGAAGCGGATGAGGTCCTTAGTGTAGTAGATGGGAGAAATATGAGGACTGTGTATACGATCTGGACCCTGTCGCCCAGAAGCGGCTGGTGGCTCGGTTCCGTTACCGACCAGCCCTCCCAAAAACACCTTTCCCCGTAGGGGTGTGGAAGACTTGTTTTAGCGAGGTCTGGGTTTAATTTAGTGTGTGAATTAATACACGTGTTTCTTGAGTACTGCAATGAACACTACGTTGAATAGTAGGCCTTGTGCTTTTGGGCCGAATTCTTGTCATTCCTAAGTCCAATAGTGTGTTTTCGATGCGGACCAGTACAGATTTGCATCTGTCGGCGCATAGTGCGTCATTTGCATTGCCCAGGAGGCATATCGAGCATCGAGCCCATTCTCTGGAGGTGGTAGGGTTGAGGTGTGTACCCTGGTTGAGTGCCAGATCCGCAAAATAGAGTATCTTGCAATCAAGCCTGGTAAATCAAGTACTTTATCGCGTGTCGACCTCAGGCCATACTCCCCACCATTGCGGGGTTTCGTTCTGAGCATGCAATGAAGACTACCACAGTGTTGTTGAGCTTGGACGCAACTGCCACTTTGTCTGGTAGCAGTGGTCTGGGGTATTCGGTCTGGAGGCGTGCGCATACTTCCATCCCCAGAGGGTTGCGCAGCCAATAGTGTTCGTCCAGGAACGTTCCGTCTTCGGCTACTCTGGTTTAGTGCCACTACTGCTATCTCTGCCTCACCCGCCGTCACAGAGTAAGGTTTCCCTAATGTACTTCGAGGAAGTGTGGGGTAGGTCTTGCCGTTCCACTTCCTCAGACGGTGAGCTGTCTTCGTGTCGCTCATCTACCATGTACGTGGTGGGAAATAGCCTTCTTTGTCGGAAGATTGTGGCGGACGGGGTTTGGATTCCCAGTGCTCCACCTATTTGGTCTGTTCGATGGGCGTCTTGCCCTTGGCCTTAGTGGCAGGGGGGCTGGAGCCCTTCCCTTGCCGTTTTGACTTGAAGGCTTGTGGGCCTGAGGTCTCCATCAAGCAGTGTGGGGCAGAGCTCATAACAGAACCTTCTCCACTGAGGCCGCTACTGCGGCGTTTATCATTTCCTAGAAATCTTGGGAAGGTTGAGAGTGTCCATCATGACTCGTTTCTGTCCTGATGGGAGACAGTGGGAGTAGTGTGTGAGGGTCAGTACGTAGGGGTGCAAGACTCCTGGTAGAACTGGGGATCACTCAGGTAAAACGGTTTGAATTGCCCGCTTTAGTTTGTCTGAGAGTATGAATACTCGTGCAAAGTGTAGAGGGGTCACCTCTATTAGTTTAATCTGGCTACTGAGAGCCGCGGTGCAGGCGCGATTAACTGGTAGTGGTGTTGGTCTGGCTAGCCGGGTTCACCACAAATGTACGCCAGAGCTGTATGCACGGTTTTTAACTATACAGGCTTATTATATAGGAGCGTGGGGCCTGTCTCCATAAGGTCTGCAGCCGCAGGACCCATGTCTATTCGGCTGGGTTCATCCCAGGTGGTGTGCCATGGTAACCCAGAGGACACCCATATTATAATTATTAGCACCTTACAAGCCTTGCATGCATATCTGGGGGTCACCCCAGGTGGTGTGCCATGAAAAATTACCCAGAGGACACCCACGTTCAATATGTCCACTAGGCACAGTAAATATACATATATGTATCCATGTGAAGGATACACCGTAATACCCTCAGTTTCCTTAGTGATCCTGCCGTCAAATCATATCCGGCATGGTACTGTTGCTTTAATGTAAAACTGACAGGCAGTGTTTAAACATCCATATATGTCTGTAGTAATCAGTGGTAAAGTTGAGGCATAGGCCTCCGTGCATATGATCGGGGTTCACCCCGGGTGGTGTGCCGTGGTAACCCAGTGGACACCCACATCAAAGGTAATGGTCTGTCAGTGACCTTGCATGCCTATCTGGGGGGGTCACCCCAGGTGGTGTGGCATGAAAAAATACCCAGAGGACACCCACATAAATTTGCACCGTCGGGTACAGTAATATAATATGACCCTCTGTAGGATACAATAATGTAATATAATATGCCCTGTGTAGGGTACAGTAACGCAATATGCCCTTGGAAGGGTACAGTGAGATAGTTGATTCTGTATATGTCACAGTAATTGTTTGTATAGTAATAGTGGTATTGTATGGACTGAACCATAATACATTTAAATTGTTTGCATGCTCAACATAATCATCCAGTGTAAGGCACTAAGAGTTAAATCCATGTGGCATTCACAGCAGAGAAGAAAATGTTTTATTTCAACCAAGAACGAAAGTGCCTAGGGAGGGGGACCCCTGAAGGGGTTAATGCAGCTGCAGGGACTGGTGATCGGGTGATTCCCGAACCGCCGCGTGAGCAGGGAAGGCGGCCGTCGTTGGTCTCGTGAGACGCGAGATCCAAGATGGCCGACAGCCGCATGCAGCAGGCTTACTCGCTCGCTGCCGTGAGTAAGCAGAAAAACACGGCGGAAGAATGCAAAACCGCCCCGGCCACCCTCCACCCGTCCCCACACAGTCCCCTGAGTGTCAGCAGGGCAGGTCCACGCAGCGAGCGCGGCACGGACAGCCGTGACGCCCGCGGACCACCCGACCAACATTAGATAAAGTGGTAGTAACACACTGAATATGGAGAGACAGGGGGACAGGGAAGGGAGCAAGGAGCAGTAGATGGATAGATATTTAGTTACAAAGTGAAGGCAGAGTAAAAATATATAAATACATCAGAGAGGTAATAATACTCTGACCTGTTGTAGGCTGGAGCAGCAAAGAAAGAGGAAGTGATGTCATAGACAGGGCCTCTTATGGGCACCATATCTTTTCTCTGATTGGTTGTTACTGTTTCTATGCTGCTGGAGTTTTCAGTAAAGAAAGATATGCAAATATGAAGCCTCCTGTCATGTGGTAAAATTTAGAACAATAGCAATGCATCTTATTTACAGAGACTGATTTCTAAACACATTTATTGTAGTTTTAAGACACATTACTGGGTGTATTATTGCTGTGGAGATCTGTTATACACTCAGATACACCAACAATAAGAAGCTTCAAGAAAAGAGGGACATTAGGAGGAGAAGAAGATGCTCAGATGCAGAGTTTTGCCCAAAAATGGGCACACGGGCAGTTGAAAGCCTGCAGAAGCGGATCCATATTGGAAGGTGTCTGTGGGATGGCATGTAAAGCAGAAGGTCTCTGTGTGTTGGCCATCTTGTGAGGTAGGCCTCTGTTCTCCTATATTCAGAGACAAGGCATCTCAGACCCCATCTGCTGGCCAGAACAGAAAGATGGGGGTTTTCCCATGCATTCCTGGCATGGCATCACGGAGGAGTAGACATGAACAGACACCGTGGACGGTGCATAGGCATTGAGGGTCTAGCTAATAAACTGGAGTCACCTCCCCAGGCACAGAGCATATAATCAGAGGGATTCAGTTGTGCGACGCTGGGGCCATGTGACGGGAGGTTAAGGAATATGTCAGCAGCCAGATGCAGTTTGATCTAATGTTGCATCTTGCTGAAGTGTGATGTGGCCATGGACTGGTGGGGCAACTTTCTCAGCTTGGCTGGACTCCAGTTTACTAGCCGCAGAGTCTCTCCCTCTGAAAACATTGGCTGAGAGGGCCACAGATTCTTACTACAGCAAGGTTAATTTTACCAATTGAATACTTTAGGCATAGTTACTGTTTATTTTAGGGTGTTTTACTCATACAATGCTGTAGTATACATTATATCTCCCAGTGGAAATTCTGTTTTGTTAATGTTACTAGGTATCTCCAAGTTAATTTGTCTGATCTAATATGTGTCCTATCAAGCAGGATACTACAAGCATCTCTTATAATTTCTAGAAAAACAAAAACATGCTGTTGTATTTATTTATTTTCATTTATTGCTTTCAGTTAGCAGATAGTGTGAACCTTATTGTCTCATAACTCTATATAAGGCTTACGTGCCACCCTTTCAGCATATTTTATTGACATCTTTCTTCTGATATTGGCACTTCTGTTTATTTCATATCTCTGACATGTTCGTAATGCTGCTGGGGCTAGTGCATGTACCTGCACAACAAAAAGAAAGATTACATTTAAAAAAAAAAAAAAAAACAGATATTAGGATTGAAGAGGGACAGAGGGATTTGGTACCAAAATAGTGACTGTCCATTCTAAATAGAAACACTTGGGAGGTATGCTACCTTTTCTATCACACCTCATCTAATGTGAAATATTTCTTCCATGCTGTACTGTATGTGCATAGAGCTCCCATTTTCTCAAGTTTGTCTTTAATTATACACTTGTTCTAAAATACTACGTCCAAAACCTCTGCCTTACCCAAAACTAAAGTCAACGCTTTGAAAAGTCCCATAAAAAAAACCCATTAGAGAATCCTAATTGACCAAACACTTTTTTTTTTTTTTGAGTAGGCAGCAATAACTTGCAGTTTATTTTAAGATATTACTTAACGCCAGATGCGACTAAGTTGCTGGTCCATTCCACTGTCCCACTGACTATTGTAATCTGTTTCTCAGTGCTCTTACGTGCTCCCAACTTGCGCCGTTACAGTCCATAATGAATGCGGCGGCGAGGCTCATCTTCCTGTCCGCCCGCACCTCCCACGTCTCACCCTTCTGTCAGTCCCTACATTGGCTTCCTGTAAGATATAGCGCTCAATTTAAAATTCTGGTTCTTGCTTTCAAATCTCTACATAATGCTGCTCCCACCTATCTTTCCTCCCTTATACACAAGTATGTACCGTCTAGGCCCTTACGATCTGCTGAAGACTTACGTCTATCTTCTGTCCGCACTCCCACCTCTGATGCTCGCCTTCAAGATTTCTCGAGTGCTGCACCGTTCCTGTGGAACTCGCTTCCCTCCTCCGTTAGATGCTTACCCAGTCTACACTCCTTCAAAAAATCGTTAAAAACCCACTTCTTCATAAAAGCGTATCAATAAAACTGTTACTAGCTCCTGACTGATTCCACTTCTGCAACTGTCACTAGTCTAACACTACCCTTACCTTTTTGTTTCACTTTACCCCACTCCCTCTAGCATGTAAGCTCATTGAGCAGGGCCCTCAACCCCTCTGTTCCTGTGTGCCCAACTTGTCTGGTTACAACTACATGTCTGTTCGTCCACTCATTGTAAAGTGCTGCGGAATTT